TGATAGTAATGAAGACGCTCACTTGATATGTTATAGTCGTTTTATGAACAAAACAAATATTATAGAAGAGTTATTATTTTGCAAAATTATTAAAATTATTAAACGGAAAACAAGCACATTGTTCGCATTAAGTTTAAATATTAATAATCATTGTTTTTTTTTCATAAAAATAAAAATATTTTGTAATACTTTAAATTGAAGTTTAATAATAAACTGTTACCTTATATTGTCATAAAAATAAAAATGTTTGTATATATAAATACTATAAATTTGTAATTTAATTTTTTATGGGAGGCGAAATTATTTTTTTAATTTTTAGGGTGGCGTGAACTAAAAAAGTTTGGGAATCGCTGCAATATAATATAAATATAAAAATAAAAAAATTGGACTCTATTTACATTAATTATGATATTAAACCTCATTTATAAAATTGATAATTATTAAATTTTAATAAATCGGTCTGCATATTTTATTTTTTAATTAATAATTATTTAAGTAGTTGTGCTGAACTAATTTTTTGTATGTGTGGCAATAAACATTAATTTATACCCTCCTATATCTGTTTATAATGTTTACATTTTTGCATCATTTAATACTTAAAAGCATAAATAGGTACTTTAATTTTTAATTAGCAAAAGTAGAAATTATTTATAATTTATATGATCATTAAAAACTGATATTAACATTTGACAGACAGGACTATATTAGTTTTACAATAATGTTCATTTTAGATTCTGTGTATATCTAAGGATCTATTAGTTTTAATATTATTTTTATTTTTATAGTATTATTATTTTTATTTTTTTTAGTGTCTGTAAACAACTTTTTTACCAGAAATAATGCTCCAATCGAAAAAAGACAAGAAACCTTTTCTAGTGAATTCTTAACTAGGTCTGTGATCTAGACATTTTTTTTTTTTGGGTAGTTTTTTTAATAATTGAGCGAAATAAAAAAAAAACCTAAAAAGAACGTGAAATTTTATGAAAATAATGCTTTTATTATTTAATTTTTTTTTTTTTTTGAGATTTAATTACAAATATTAGTAAAGACTTGAAATATAGAAAAAGAACTTGTATTTACCTTTTTTAGAAGAAAAAACATTTTCAAAACATTTGAGCCATTCATTAACTATTTATAAACATTTAAATTTTGGGTGTTAATTAGATTAATTTTTATTCGGTAGGTACTCAATGAAAAATATTGTTAGACCAAACAGAAATGCTTGAAAATTCAACAAAGATTTCATTATAAGTTGTACTTAATAGCAAACGAGAAAAAATTGAATTTAATGTAGTATTTATTTTTTTTATAAGCATTTTAATACCAAATTTTTGAACGAAAACCATTTGTGTAAAAATTATGTGGAACATATTTAATTTTTCAATTTTTTATTTTGAACATATGATTATTGCTGATTTAAGTACAATTATGAATTCAGAATTGAGCAGACTAACTTAGTTCCAAAATTAAAGTTAAAAATTAAAGCAAAAATACTCGCAAAAATGGGAATGCAGACGGCGGCAAACCTCATTCATAAGTCCCAGTCATATATGATGCAGTGTAAGGGATGCTGGTCAGATCAAAAAAATTGTTTTCAATGTAATAAAGGTAACTATAATTTTAATCCATAGAAATACCTCAGAGTATAAATATAATTTGTGCAATAAAATGAGTCATTTAGCCGTAGTATGTAAGCAAAACGTCAATGTTAAAAATGTAGAAGTGTTTGAAGAATAGTCTATTAATGAATTTGAGTTGTTTAATGATAAATTAGTCAAAATGGAAGTAGATTCGAGAGCAACAGTCTCTATTATGACCAAAGGGTTTTTAGTAATTTACCCAATAGTAGATTAGGGACATTATATCATTGGGCATCATATCTTTGAGCTGGGGCATTTTGAAATGCACTCCAAGTTTTCAGGGTCCTTTCTCGATCCTTTCTTATCTATTATGTGACCCAAATACTTTATACTAGATAGAAAAAATTTACACTTATTTCAGTTCAACCAGAAACCAGCTTCTTCACTGCGTTTAAGAACTTCTCGGAGATTTGCAAAATACCCTGTATCATTTCACTTCATAAAGTTTGGGTTTTCCATTTCACATATTTCTTAATTAGAATTTACCATTTTCATTTTTATTTTTCCAAAATAATTTTTAATGCTTAATTCATCAGTATAATTAAAACTTACCTATTATACTAACTTTTAAAGTTTTTGTACATTAACCTTGAAAAATAGCTTTTTTAGAATTAATCCCAAATAGCCATTTTTTTTTATAATTATTTCTTGTAGCTATTGATATTTTGATAGTAAATTTTTTTTTATTGAAGCTAGAATAAGTCTATCTGGCTTAGTTTTAGAGTTACAGACGTTCAAACATGCCGTGTTTCACTGCGGTCACTTTGACAATTTTAATCGAAAGTAACCCTTGAGAGTGACCACATGCTCTTCACTTTTAACCTACCCGATGTGGTTTTGCACAAAATATCAAGGGTTGTTTTCGATTAAAATTGTCAGAGTGAGCGTAGTGAAACATGGCGCGTTTGAATGACTGTAACTCTAAAACTAAGCCAGATAGACTTATTCTGACTTCAATAAAAAAAACTATGTTTTTAAAATATCAATAACTTCAAATAATAATTTAAAAAATGTCAATTTTTGATGATATTTTGGATTAATTCCAAAAATCATTTTTTTTAAGGTTTATGTAAAAAATCTATAATAGTAAGTATGATAGGTAAGTTTTGATTATACCAATGGATTAAGCGTTAAAAATACACATTTTTGAAAAAAAAAAAATAGAAAATGTTAAATTCTTACTATGAAATAAGCAAAACAGAAAACCGAACTTCATAAAATTTTCCCCAATAACTAACAAACGAAATTTGTTTCTTTTTTTTTTGTACGTTCTTAATGTACACACAAAAACACACAATTTGAAAAAAAAAGCCAAAAAAATAGTGTAGGAGCTAAACTTGGATCCTGTCAACTCAAATTCATTAAAAGACTGTTCTTCAAACACTTCTATATTTTTAACATTAACGTTGTGCTTACATATTACCTACGACTAAATGACCCATTTTGTTACACAACTTACATTTATATTCACGGTATTTACATGAATTAAAATTATGGTTACCTTTACCACAATGAATAAGACTTTTTTGATCGGATCAGCTTCCCTTATGCCTTATATCTGAGGCTTATGAATGTGGTTTGCCGCACATGCAGACGCATTCCTCAGACAGCATACGGTTTTGCAACAATAACCGCAAACAATACCGGAACCTTTCGCTTTTCTTCGACATAATTCGCAATGAAAAATTGTTCCAACAGTTCAGCATACAAATCCTGATCTTCCCCAAGCCAGTACCAATTGAAGATCAAGCTACCACAGTCTTCTTTTCTGCCGACATTCTGTAATGGACACATGGTCTTAAACACGACTACACAAGGTACCTACTTTGAAACATTTAACTTTTTATTTCCGTTTAAAATCTTCGTCGCCAATGTAATGTCTCAGCGCCAAACTGAATTGGGACTCGGGTACATATATATCAACCAATAACACTGTGGAATAACTTTATTCTTTTAATAATATACTAAATAACAAATTGCAGTCGAACGATGGACACCATTCTACTTTTTTGCATGGTAAACACCATCATACTAGCAAATACTTATATTAGTCTATAGTATTTGATAATAGCCACCAGATACAATTGTACAAGAACCACTATATAAGTATTAAATTAACTTATACAAAATAAATAATAATCAACCGCATAGAGATAGAGGTTAGGTCGTACACTATAGTACACGTATATTCCGCTATCAATAAATGGTAACAAAGCCCAGTGGTTCCCAAAAATAAAAAATTGCTATAAAGGCGTTAGATAGGCATTAAATAAGTATAAATGTACGATAAGAAACCAACTGAAAGAGGCAAGATCTTAGGGTAAGTAAAAGCATCAGTGAAGAAATGCAGATTCAGAATTTGGAATCAAATTTCGGTTAGTTGTCTCGCGAAAACGGCAGGGACTAAAGGTAGACATAGACAGGTAGATATTTGGATGTAAAACGTAGTATTTATTTAATTGTTGTAATAAGAACTCCTATTATGATTTTAATTATCTAATGCCATATAAATTGTATATATATTTATTAAAAATATTCGTATATTTAATGTATTACAAATATCTTTAATACATTTACTCACTGAAGTTTAATCTTAAATTGAAGTCCGATTTTTCCTATTATTCTCTTAATAAGAGACATTTGCAAATAATCTTAAAAATAAATTGTAATATAATACTAATATACTTTAGATAATGTTGTAGTGTACTTTTTTTACAATCTAGATAAATTGTCCGATATTCTTGCACAAATTGTAATATAAATCGTTTTTGATCTTAATTTAATGTTAACGTTCTGGAATTATAAGCGGAAAAATAAGGAACTATTATGAAGACCTTGCAGAGTAGTCACTTGAAGATATTTCTTATTTCAAATATGCACCCATTGTATCAGCAGACATTGAAAGAAGCTTTTCGAAGTACAAGGCGATGTTACGTGACAAAAGTATATTCTGTTACTTCATATTGGTACTCATTTAAAAATTCATAAAAATTGTTGTGCTATATACACATGTAAAATATTTAATCATGCATATTTTTAATTTCTTATATATTTTATATAATGCATAAATATGTACATAATTACAATAATTTTTGAATACAATGTAAAAGGTGTTTTCTTTAATTATCTATAATACAATTTATTAATTCAATTACAAAAACGGTGGTCCAAAAAATAGAATTAGGAATATGCCCGCCGTGGGCGTACTCAGGGGGGTTCAAGCCCACATTATGGACACTTGACAAATATATTATAAGTATTATGTACTTACATAATAAATTATAATTATATTATGTACTTACAGAATATAATTATAATTAATGTAATTCTCAATTTGAAATTTTTTTTGAAAACAATTGATTAGGTAGGTTTTATCTCCTTATCAGTCTGTATTATTTGATATTGTGTAGTAATCACAATTTAAGATATAAGCAAAATTTCTTGAACTGTGAACTGTTGAATTTAAATTAATATTTTTTTTTCTATAATTTTAAGGAATTTATCTAAAGCAATATTTAGATCGAGATTATACAATTCAGCCTCCCAGTTTATAGTTCTGATTGTGTGGTTTAAGTTGTTAAATTTTATATGCACATAATCCAAGTTATAATCATAATTCATAATAATATAATAGAATTATTTAAACTATCACTAATCTGTTATAGTACATTTTAAAATATAAGCATTTATATCATTTTTATTGACATTATTAACATATAAATGATCAATACAAGAACTATCATACTAGAATTTACTTAATTCAGTACCTATGTGGGTTGTCCCTTAATAGTTTAATAAAAATAAAAGGTGGCTAATACATGACATGATCATTATTATAAATAAATTAATATTGACATCACCACAGGTAATTTTTTTTTTTGATTTTTTTAATACATAAATATGTTTCAAGAGATTAAATAAAATTAGTTGTATTAGTAAAAGAAGGGGACCTATATAAACCAAAAAAAATACACATTTGTAAATTATTATCTTCATAGAGTTACATTCTTGTAAAGGCTTGAAGCATAGTTTTACAACTAATTATTTATATAAATTATTTATTATAAATAATAATAATTATAATAAGTGATCGGTCTTATTAGTAGTAGTATAAAAATGAAATAATATTTAACCATATTAAAACAAGTTTCACAGAGTATAATAATATAATACGATTTTCTATAAAAGTTAATAAAAGTAAAAAATCATTTATGTGATAGGTGTATCATTTATTTCCATACTTAAATTATATGTTTAATGTTTAAATTAGATATTTTTCTCACCATTTAGACTTCTGTATTTAAATATGTTTACATTACTTTTATCTAGTAGTTAAAGTGGTGAATTCTAATTCTAATTTGATTTATCTATTATATTATTTTCTACAAGTAATTTTACATAGAACAATACAATTTGTACATCTTATTAAATTTACATCTCTTACCATACCCTAACTAAAACTTTATAATGCTTTAGTTATTAGCAATGATAAATCTAATGTGAGTGTGATGCATATCAAAAACTTCTCTATTTAAAGGGAAGGAGAGGTTATTATTTGAAAATCAAAAGTGGATACTTATTTAAGGTATATGGAGTAGGGCTTAAAAATTAAAAATGGTTTTAAAATAAAGCTTAAACGATTCCATAATGATTAGAGAAAACCAAAAATCAAATTCACTCAAAATTCTCTAAGATAATTACTGGTTCATGATAAAAAAAATCACTCTGTAAATGATAATAACAATAATAAATTAACACAAGAGTTGCACATGCGTAAAGCAATAAAATTTTAAATTTAGTTATGGGTGGTTGTTTTGCGAATCATTGTCGATAAAACTATTCAACAAAACCACGGTTCAAGGGACCCTCTGGGATTAAGTTCTTGGTTGGTCTCTGTGGTTTTCTGAAGAGACCGGAGAACTGCTTTACCTCCGATCTTTTTAAATGGCACAGGCCTCTTTGTGACGTTGGATACCAGTAGCGTCACGGATTTATCTCGGCGCAAAGTGAACATTTGAGAAATTCTTGTTGAGCGGACGAGTGTCGATACTTCTCTACCGAGGTTGTATCTTTTGAGAAATCAAGACTACGGGCTTGCCTCTTCGAGTGGTAAAAATTAGTAAGTGAAGTAAAAGTAAGTAAAATTATTAATAAACTTGGAATTGAATAAATGTGATTTAAGAAAAGCTTAGGATCTAGCTCTTAAATATAGAAATCATTTGACTGAAAGTATAAATATTTATTTGATATTTTTTTATTTAATTTGGCTCTTCCTGGTGAACATGTTGATAAATGCAAATGTGATAAAGCCGATAAAGGTATCCAAGTTCAAAGTAATAATTTTACTGTGCTATTTATTAATATTTTAGACTAATTGTAAATTAAATATAGCTACAGGTTTATCATCTAATGAATTCGACATAATTGTTTCTTTGTTTGATAATTAAAATATACCAAAAAAAGTAAGGAAATTAAGTTCTAAAGAGTTGTATTAACATTTATGAAACTATAATTGGATGTCAGTTATTTTCTACTATTTATTTTATTTCAAACTATTTCATCCCAAAAACGTAAAGATATATTTCATGAAACTATTACATGCTCAACGACTATTTTAAAGTCTTCAATTCCTTGGCCTTCTAAAGAAGAATATTCAAAAAATATGACAACTTGTTTTAAGTTGTTTGAAAACACACATAATATAATTGATTGCACAGAAATGGAAATTCAAAAACCAAAATGCTTATTTTGTAGAATTAGGACTTACTCACAACACAAGGGAAGGCATACTGTCAAGTTTTTAACTGATATTTCTCCTGGAGGAATACTCACATTTATTACTAAAGCATATGGAGACTGAGTTTCTAATAAAACAATTTTTGATCAGGCTTAGTAAAAAAACTTATTCTTGGCCAAGATGCCATAATGACTGACAAGGGATTTTTAATTGATTCTGAATGTGATTTATACAATATTAAATTAATAAGACCTCCAATTTTGAGGAAAAAAAGCAAATTCTAATATTGCAATTATTTCAGCTCAAGTTCATATAGAAAAGAGCAATCAAAGATTAAGAATATTATAAAATAAAATTCCATGGAACATAATGAATATTGTTTAGGAAATATTTGTTATAAGTTGTTGTATTGTTAATTTAAGTTTATCTATATTATCTGAAGACAAATTTCTACATTATTAAACCATTCAAGTTTTGTATGTACCTACATTTCAATATTTTCCAATTTTCTTTTAAGTATAAGTATTTTGATTATTGTTAATTTTTTAATCAAAATGTATTATTGTCATATATAATCTTTATTATCTTTGATTATTGTATACATTGTTTAATTTATATATTAAATAAAAAGATCCAACAAAAGAAAATAAATAATATTTAAAATATGTTTGGAGTACTTCTTTGAGTCATCATTTTGGTGGGAACTCTTAATTTGAATCACCCAATGTAATATTTTCTTGTCAGTGTTTACAAAAAAAAAACCCGTTATTATAATATTCATATTGATTATTGACATATTCCTCATTACTTATTGAACATACTAACTATTTAAAATATGTCAACAAGTAATAAGAGACCACATAGCAGTAATTTTTCTACAACGGAAGAGACTATGTTGTCTTATAATTCGAGGTAGTTCTTGCATTCTCGAAAAATTGTCTGTTTCCTAATTCAATTCTGATATTTCATTTTCGTAGTCTGAAAAGTCATTTTAAATCAAACCGCAGTTATATATTGCTATATTGCTCTTTTCATAATTCTAACAAAAAAGTAAAAACATAACAAAAATGCATACACTATTATAAACTTTACAGATAAACTCAAGATAAACCCATAAAACATAAAATTAGTAGTACATAATAAAAGTAAATAGTAGTAAAAATAATCATAAAAAAGATTGATAAGTATCTATTGTTAATAATCCGAGTGATTTTAGCTTAACTGGAGATTTTTTCTTTAACCATAGTATGTAAGAACCAACTGTCTGTTAAATTTCAGTATAACTACTGGTTAGGGATAACTGACCCAGACCTTAAGAGTTATTTATACTATAAGCATATTGAGTTTGAGTTAAATGTTACATTGTTACAATTATATTATATATAATGTTTAATTAAATTTTATATGTATTATGTACAATAAAGAAACAATTCATACCTTCCACTGTTTATAAATGATAATAGAATTAATTATTAAGTTTTAATTTTAGAAACAAAATTATTTATTTTCTCCCACATTAGATCTACCCGTGGTTTTTAATTTTTGTAGTATTGTTTAAAAATAAATAAATTGTTATAATTATATCATATATTATGTTTATTTATTTATTGATTTAAATTACGTACAAAAACAGAATAATTAATGTTTTTCCACACGAGATTTATTTGTAATTTTAAATATTTTAGCTTCTTTAAAAAATATCCAGAATACCAAATAAATGTTTCATGCCAAAATGGAAAACTGGCTATGCCAGTAATATTAAAAAACTAAAATTAGAAAATAAAAACAGGTAACTTTGTTTTGTGCACCAAAGGTCTGAATTCTTAAGTAAATAATACTAATCCTTAAGAAAACAAATTTTATTCAATGTACACAATTCATCTTTTATTAATTTATTATTTTATATCCATTTTTTATGTCCCCATGCATCATAAATAATAAATGTAATATATGTATACAATTAAAAATCAATCTTTTCTTTACTACAAACAAATTATACAAGTATGAACATACTTGTAGGTAAGTTTAACAGGTATGATACAGAGAAAAATATGTATTTAATGAACAGTCTTCATGAAATCTTCAATACCTTTCATTCTATTATAATTACATTTTACTAAAGTCAGTTTTTTTGTACATTTCTAAGTTAACTAATCAATTATTTATTAAATAAATATAATATAATTTAAGCACATAACTTTACTGTAGGTTTGAGATGTTTGTAACTTTTATTATTAGTTGTTATTAATTGTTTAAAAAACAATCCGTAATAAATTTTTTTTAATATCGAGTTTCTATTTGTATTTATATATATTTTTCTCATATGTATGAATGCTTTAAAACGTTAAAAGTTTGTTTTAATTGTAAATCTATGTATAATTTCACAATTTAATGTCAACCTTATTATGCAATGTATTCAGTAACCTGATAAAGGCATTATGCTAAAACAAAATAGTTATACAATATAAATATCTATATAACACTAATTCATAATATTCTTGAAAAATATAACATCATTTTATTTATTATCTAGGTTGTATTTCGCATATGACACAGAGAATGCAGCAATAGCAAAAAATAACCAAAAAAATTAGCAAAATAATCTAAATTGTAACATTTTTAGAATAGTGTAATAACACTTTGTTAATGAAAACTATTTTATTATATACCTACCAAATTGATTAATGAATTTAAACAATAGAACTTGGTAATAAGTAACTAGTACCGAGTTATAAAACTAAAAATAAAAATTGTTATTCATTTATATAAAAACCATATATTCATAACACTAAAACCGGCCTTCAGGCAAATTGTAGCGCTACCTGGTGGTGCCGGAAAAATTTGTGACAAATATGTACACGTGGAGTCATTTTATCTTCCTCTCGGCCAACATGGCGGAAAAGCAGAGTCGCCCGGCTTGCTATAGTGAATTTTTACTAGTTAGCAATCTAGTTTATTGTTTATATCTGTGGTTCCACTACTATCACCGCCACCGTTGAAACAGGATGGTATACGATATATGTGGTGGATTGGTGAACCAAATTTCGTTAACATTTTGTTTTAACAGTCGTACCGCGTACATATATTGTTCTCGCGACGCGCTGCGAATTTTTGTCAATCAAATATTTATTTTGAAAATAATATACCTATTTTTGGGTCAATATGTCTGATGGAAACGCTGCCACACTTGTAACGCCACCTAAGAAAAATCAAAGTAGAAAAGTAAGTAAATAATTTACAAAATTCATTTTCTGACGACTTTTTAACCTCTTTAATTTTTTTACAATGGTATTTCATATTCTTTTTTTTACTGTAAACCACTTTTTTATAGGTGAGGCCTTTGTTATTTCATGTGCAATGCTGACACTTTACATTATCAATAGTAATATCTATGAAATGGATTAGTATAAGTTATTGACATAATATAATTATATATAATTACATTATATTATTTCAAAGGTATAAGCAAATAATAAACATTTTTATAACATAACTTTAAATAAGACATGACATCCAAGAACTAGTCTGCGGTTTTAACGGTCTATCCTGTAAGTTGTAGTTTTCTCTTACCCAAAAAATTTGCGAATAATACTTTAGAGCGGTGTTTGCCTCTGGCCATGCTATCGGAAAATCACCAAAACAGTCAATATAACCTGTAGTTAAACGTATTATGAAGGAATTTAATGATGAATACATACATTTTACATATTATACACATTAAGAAACTTCTTAAAATTGTTAGAAAATACAAATTAAGTTCAAATTTTTTCTTTAACCCGGTAAAATCCTAATTTATTCACAAAACCGATCAAACTATTGGCTGTATGCATGCTTTTCATACGACCATTTGTGTAGACTGTCAATCCACAGAACTTATAGATGGCGTTCGAACATTATTTTTTCTTTTTAGAGTAGTTCAATCACAGACCGTTAACGCTTGCTATTTGGCCATTTCTACGATATTCTAGATTATCTTAATCGAGCTCGTGATCAAAATAGGATATCGAAAATTTATTCCAAAGATAGTACATATAATAAATTCACGTTCAAAAAGGTCAAATAATTTTGCAAAATATAATTTGTTTATTTTTTATTCCATGATTTTAGGAATAGTACCCATATCAGCCATCCCGTCAAAATATAATTATAAAAATATTATGTACCATAATGATTGAATATATGTATATGGCCAAATAGCCAATCTTAAAGGAAATTTTTATTTAATTGAGAATACCCTATATATTATAAAATATAAATCATAACACATTATGGTCAACAATGGTCATAGCTGTGTATTACTGTTAATAAAAATAAATAATTTATATGATTAAACAATACAATTCTTAATAATATATTAAGAACTTCCATGAAAAAATGGCGACTGCGGTAATTTCTTCATATTATTACATTGTTATATTGAAGGTAGTTACCTTCAATATAACAATATAACTAAACTTAAGGTTACACATGCATTTGTTGCTTCTGTCTTAGAAAGACAAGATATAAGTAAAAACATGCTTACGCAAACAACATAGAACTCGCCTAGTTTTAGTTTTAAAATAAAAGCACTTATTATAAAATTAATAGAGAACAATATTCCCCAGGGCGTTTTTAAGAAAAAGTTAATATTTTTTAAGTTTTAGTGAATTAAAAGTACCTTAAAATAAAAATAAATACAGTGAAACCTTTATACGGTGGAAAGTCACGGGAAATTAAAAAATGTCCATTATTGAGAAAATCTCTACATACTGGACATTTGCGAAAAATTACAAAACGTCCATTATAGGGAGGCACTATAGAGAATTGGGTATACATATACATACATTACTCTAAAATCAAAATTAAGATAGTTTTACTTATTCTTTGTAAGCATTGTTTTGTATGTTATCAAGTAGTTGGACTAAGAAAGTAGATGCGGGATAACGTCCTCTTAAGATAATATCAAATATGAACAAAATGTATAAAAAATAAATATGTATTTTTATTACTTAAATATTTTCCATATGTACACGTATTGTGTCATGTATTTATAATAGGTAATTTTTAATTTTGGTACCAGTTTTTATTGTCCATGTCCACTTTTAAGAGGTTATAACTCCTAGTATGTACATACATTTTTGCCGGGGAATTTAAGTCTCTTGGGAAGGGTCCACTATTGAGAGGTGTCCATTAATAGAGGTTTCACTGAATAGTTTAAAATCGCAATAAATTATTTGTTATTTTTTTTACAATTTCCATTTTTTTTTTGTAATATGTTTCTTATCCTATGGAATACTTTGAAACGTAAAAAAAAATTTTTCCCTGTGAACTTGACGTTGAATGACTAGTTTATATTTTCTATTCACATAAATCGGGAGGCCGTAATTGTCCCGAAAATAATTGGACGGATCGATAAAAATCTGGAGAGTAAAATGTGTGGACTGTAATATTGTGGAAAGTAAAACGCCGGAATATTAAATCCCGTACCATAAAACACTGGAGTGTAAAATAACGGACCGCAAGATTGCTGTCAAAGATTTTACATTCCGGTGTTTTATGATCAGGATTTTTATAGCCTTCCCATGAAACTACATACACTCATTAATTATGCTGTGTGATTACGTTTCCAGGTAACTCTAAATATTTCGGCTAGATAGATAGATCTTCGATTTGAATTCAGTTTTCGGTAGGTAATAAGGAGTTCCGAACTACACAATTTAGAATAAATTAACTACTTTTAATTCTTATTGTGGTCGCGTGCACAATATAAATTACTTTTTTTTAAAAGTCAATTTAAAATCTATTATTTTCTATAGATTCGAGTAGGTCTATTTTTTTTTTAAGCAATTTTCATTAAACAATTTTTTTCCGAAATCAAAATTGACAATTGAAAATTCATGTTTATATTTTTAACAAAAAACAAAGGCGTATTTTAAAAATGTTTTCATTATGTTATATTTCCTAATCAATTAATAATTATTTGTCTAATGCATTGTTCCAAGTTTTCCCCGTTATGCTCTACACAAGATTCAAGTCGTTTTAGAAATTCTGTTCCTGTCGCCGATTTGATTTGATCCTCTGTTAATAGATTGGTCGCTGCTTATATATTTTTTTTTAAATCCAAATTGACTGGTGGATGTGCATAAACTATTGTTATAAAATGTACTCACAAAAAAAAAATCCAAAGGCGTTAAAAGGCTAGCCAAGGTACTATTCCATATATCCCAATCCAACAATTCGGAAACATTTCATTTAGATGTTCTTTAACAATATTTGCATTATGAGCTAGTGCACCATCTTGTTAATAAATTAATTACCCATATAGTTTAAAATTTAATTTCGCGTGACAAATGTGACTTCGTTTCATTCTAAAATCTATGGTTTTGTTTGTTTGTAAATTTTGATTCATCAGTTCAAAGAATGTTACTGACAATGTATAGGTCATTATGGAATTAAACAGTAAATTAAACTATAAAGTCCAACCCACATATAGAATCTCCTGTGCGTAAATGATAAACCAGATCAATTTTAAATGGGTGTGATTTTTTTTTTTTGGCAATTTTTGTACACTACCAATATAAAATAATACCAAGTTACACTTCAGTGTAACATGTCTAATTGATGAATGAGGGTAACCTTGTATATAAGCCCATGCCTGTAATTCTGTATCCCCATTTAACATATTTAGTTTAGGCCTTTGTTGATGATATTTTGTACCCAAAACTTTTCCTTCTTAATGTTATTCATATTTGTAAAATAATAAGAACATTTACTAACACAACAAAATAATGTATTAACCATTAAACCTAAGTACAAAACTAATTCAGGTATGAGAGCTATTTAATGTTAACCAAAGAAAGATAATTTAAAATTAGACAATTGGAATATCATAACAATTATAGGTACGAGTTAAGAAATATATGATTAAATTGAAGACTATGGAAATTACATATTTTTTTGTTATTGTTAAAACTATAAAAACCTATAACTTGGTTAATTTTGATTTTGGAAAAAAAAATGTTATATGCAAGATGCTGAAAATAAATAGACGAATCTATAGAAGAGTTTAAAGAGTTAAAAATTGGAGATTTCTCCAAAATTGTGTATTTCAGAACTCCGTATCACTTACCGAAATGGAATTCAAATCCAACCAAAATATTTAGTGTTAGCTGGAAATGTAATCACACTAAATATACAAATATAAAAATTGGGATTGAGTTATTAGATATTTATGGTTCTTAACAAAACATTAAATGCAAAATGTACATAACCAATCCGCATAAACAAAATATTAGATATATTATAATAAGTATCGCTGTCAAAACTATATCAACCTTATCTGACCATTTATTCTATTGGACAACCAGATTACTATATTGCTCAATTAATGGTGTACACAATGAAAATGTATAAATTAACTAAGTATAAATATTAAATATTTTACATTACTTATATATTTTAGTTAATTTATAAATTACCTAATTATTTCATAAAGTAACAGATTCAATACTTTTAACTGTTTTTTAGTTAGAATTAGCATCAGAGTTAATACCAAAGATGACAGTTGTTAGCATCAAAGACTGTATAGGGTAGGACAGACTCGACATGTAGCTAGGACCTCGCATCAATAAATCTCCAAGCAAAACATTTTCTGATTTAAATCTCAACATATAATTAGTAATAACTAGATTTTAAATTAACATTAGGTAATCAAGACTAAGTACATATAAAATTGTATATTACTTTCATCTGTCTGAAGCGATAAAATGTTATTTTCCTTTAGATAGAAACATTTCATAAAGAAGACTTAATGCTGTAATTTTCTGCCTTCATTACGTATACTATAGTAATTTAGACTTTTATTAGAATTTAGAAGTTTCATAAAGTCTTCTTGAGAAAAAATCCAAATCTGCGATTTTTACTTCTCCAAAAATTTAAATATACATAATATAATATCGGACTGGACGTGGCAGGTAGAGATATAAGTTTGTACGGAAATGTTTCTGTTTATCATTCTGCCCTGTTAATCTGTAAATAAATATTTTTTTTTCGAATATCAGATTTAATTATTCTAATATGTGAATCCATATTTCCAATCATTTTAGTGCAATAATTAATAAGTTCTGAATGTTATTTATATATAGGTGTTTAATGATTTTTTCCAGTAAGATAACATCAGAAGTGTAAAATATTAAGGTCTTGCAACAGTATTTAGTTCAGGGTCTCACTTATTTTAAAAATTGTTTAAGTAGTTTTAGACTGTTTTTGTAACTATGTTCATTTTTCAAATGTTGATTCTATATTCTACAACACCAACAAGAAATTTGTTTTTTATTCAAACTGGTGTAAATTTACTCTTGAAAATCAAACCGGTGTAAATTTGAGAAATTGTTTGGAGTAACTGGTGTTAAAATTAACGACACGGGTTTAATTTTTCTGCACCATCACAGGCATATGATGCAAACTATTTACACAGATTTATATTCATGCTTTCTCATTTCTCCCTCGAAATAATAAACAAACTGATAAATGAAAATTATAATAATTTAATTGATAACAATGAATACCTAATCAAATTAATTGTTATTAAGTACTTATTAATAGGAAATGGGAACTATAGTATAGGTAATATACTAATAGTTTAAATAATTTATTAATCTTTAATTGATAGTATTGATAGTATAGATTGTTAATTTTGGACAATGGTGAAGATATACCGATTTCTATTGTCTATATTAACCTTGGTGTAAAATAATCAGTATCAAATGTAGAAAATACCAGTAGAAAATGTATCGGCATACTGGTTTGTACCAACAAATTTCTAGCAGATGTTTTGGTAATTGATTTGAATAATTTATTATCTTGTTATCTAAAATCTGTTATTTAAATTTGACCATAAAACGAGGTATGTACTGCTGTCTTAAAAAATTAAAAGCTATTACTATTTATTGTGAAAAAATTAGTTTTATCAACCAATATTACTACATTGTTAGAATTTATCTTAAAATACTGTTACATTTTATAGGAAGACTAGAAGTACTATTTAAAACTTATATTAATACATTATTTAACATATTTTCTGCAAATCATTAATAAATTAAAAGTTTTAAGTATAAATAAGAAATAAAATATTTTACATTTAAAAATTTCAATCTAGTGTTTTTATACACATCCAATTATCAGGAGATGAATTTGGTTTTGACCAAGAACCAGGTTCTTTGATTTCCTCATAAGGTAAATGCCATATACCTTTTCCAGATTCTTGAGTTGTTTGTAAATAAGGTATTGGATTCTAAAACAATATAATGATGATTAATAAATATAAATACCATGAATACACTTACATAGTGTATTCCAAATGAAATATATTTTTTAAAACATTTTGGTACTTATATTATATTTACTATAAATAAATAAACATACTCTAATAAAAACTTCATTCTGTGGACGTATTTTTAATATAAGTCTATTTTTTTGTAACCATTTTTGAAATATATTTTGCATCTTAGAATTATTTAACAAAAATTTATGGCCTCGCATAAGATCCCTGGTAAGAATTTTTGTTTGAATACCACTATACATTGCTGCATATAGTAAAAATGGGTCATCTTTAGATCTAAAAGAAATGAATAAAATATTAATATTATATACTGTTTTTAAAAAAATAACTAACATTATTTCTTACAAATCATCTGCAAAAAATATATTAACATTTCTTTTTATAAAATTAAATTCATTGCCCAGCTGTTGAACTAAATGTTTTCTACCAAATAATAATACTTTTGATTTTTGTTTAATTAAAATTTTCAAAACAATCTTGATCTATGAATAAAATATATTAATTATAATAGTTTGAATTTGCAATACATTTTTTTATTTAAGGTCAATAATTAAAATTAAGAATTGTTATGGTCCATACTCTAATTCAATTTTTTATTTTCATTTTTATATAATATTAATGTGTTTGAGAATGAAAAATGATTTTATTTTTAGTCATTAAAAAAGGTAATGGAATGTAAATAGTTAATATTCGGTAGGAAATTAAATGTAAATAGACACATTTTCACAATAGATAATTTGAATTTAAAAATTAAATTAAATACTTGCCAAGTATGCACACAATAATTCAAAGCAAGTTACTTAAATTTTCTAGCTTATCAAAGTTAAGTTAGTTAATAAATAAAACATTTTAATTATATTAGATGATTTTTAAGAAACCAAAACTAAAACCTTGGGACAAAGTTTTGGATAAAACACAATGGAAACGGCCCAGACTACAAGGATTTAGGATTAGCACATGAAATGTAAGAACTTTATATAAATCAGGAGTACATGGTACACTAGTCAATAAATAGGTATAAGGTAAATATAATTTACCTGTATAAGGTAAATAGTGTTACAAGAATTGAGATAGTTAGGTGAAGGATGTATACCAACACGTAAACATAACATTATATTAAGGAGGTAAGACAAGTAATAAGCATGAGAATGATATAGGTTTTGTCATGCACAATAGTCTAATACCACAGATTAAACAATTTAAAACTATAAATGATTAAATATATTTCATCTGGATCAATTAATTATTGTTCTCAAGAAGATGTCTTTTAAATGGATTTTCCTAAGGCCTTGGATCATGTCGACCACTCCACCCTTTTAAAGGTTTTGGAGTCTTCCGGTTTTTCAGTAAGTCTCTCTTATCCTAGTTTTGTTTGTACCAGTTTATGAGGAAATTTCGGGTTAAAATACATAATGGTGTCAAATCTACTTTGTGTGACGTGCCCCTGGAAGTTCCCTAAAGAGGGCATCCCTTCCTTTTACTCTTTGCTATCTTTGTTAATGGTATTAAACACCATCTTCATAAAAGTGAAATTTAATTTTTGTGGATGACATGAAATTATTCTCTTGATTCACTAATTTCATGGGCAACTAAATATTGATAAATGCCACAGTATGTCTTTTTACCGAACTAAATCTACAATCAGTTTTTAATATTTCATCAATAATTACATTGTCCAATTAGCTAGTGACACTATTATTGATTTATGCTTTCACTACAGCTATAATTTGTCATTGTAATTACATATAAATTTAATTTATAATAAAGACCACAATAACAGAATCTGCAGAAAAAGTCATTAATTTCACACAAAATAATGGTATTTAATAATAATTGCAGGGAAGTAATCAGGGAATACAATGAAGCTAGAACTAAAGCAATTCATACACCTATCCGCGAGAACATAAGACTTCGAGAACAAGCAAAGATAATTAACTACACTGATTTATGAAAAGAAAAGAGAATAACAACCGAAAAAAAAGACAAAAAGTAATTAGAGGACATTGAAAACTTCAAACACAATCCCATAGAATTTTTCAAACATTTAAAAGCAATCAAAAGTGGATTTATACCATCTATACAAATGATAGAAATTAATAATGGTACTCTAATTACAAGACCAGAGAATATTGCTGAGGAATTCAAAATGTACTTTGAAAGATTCTTTAACAAAGATTCGACAATGAAAGTAGGCAAACAAGAAGACACCGTACATTATACAGTAGAATCGGAAGTAGTAAATTCAAGTTTAGAAGAGGTACAGTATGCGATTCAGACTATAAAAAAATAAAAAGTCAAAGATGATAAAATTGTAACTGAATTATTAAAATTAAGAGGACAAAACCTCTATGAATTTAACAAAAAATTCATATAATTTTTGTAGACTTCAAACAATCATATAATAGTGTTATTAGAGAAGAAATATGGAATTTCCTAAGACTGCCTGGAATCTCAGAAAAATATATTAATTGACTAGCTGTATCGCCTGTGCCAATGTTTTATTATTTGTTTTACTCATATTATTTTTTGGTATTGAATGAAAACAAGCAAGTGGAAAGTCCATCTTTAACAGACTAAAGGTGTTCTGAAATTTTTTCATGATTTTCATATCAAAAATATCTACACTAAATTTTTTTTTTTGAAAGAGGGGGGGAGGCAGTATATTTCAAAGAAAATGAAGCTTAACTTAACCTATTGGGGAGTCGGGACGCTCAGCAGTGGGAGAGTACATTTACTGTATTATAATTCTCAATTGTAGATGATACGGCGTTCCTTTAATATCTTCATATACGTATTTGTCAACAATTAAAATTAATACAAAATTAATAACTCTTATCATCATAATTAGAGATCGGATTTATATGTTATTAAAATCCACAAAAAAGCACTTGAAAAAATTAAAAAGCTTTGAAAAAAATTAACTTAAAAATTGTATAAAAATGCAAAAATAATAAAAGGGGTTCAAGAGTCCACCCCCTCTAACAAATTTAATTTATAAATAAAATTTTCAATTGCCACAAAAATGATTAATAAAAAGTAATTTTTTTTTTTTATAATACATTCAATTTTATTTAAAAAAAATTATTTTTCGTGTTAGAAAATTAAATTTAATAAGTTAAATCCATTAGTGGGGAGACTTTTGAACTCTTCTATAATTTTTGCTTTTTTAAATGTTTATAAATGCCTTTTTCAGAGATTTTTTGATGTTTTAAAGCGCCTTTTTGTGGATTATAAGAGAATATAAATCTGGTCTCTAGCTATAATCTACATGTATTATGTATAAAAATGAATCAAAAATTTTGTCAGTGACGCACTAACGCCATAACTTGAATACCATCCAAATTTCCAACTTGCTCAAAAAAAAAAAAAAAAAATCCCTAAGAGTTATGTACGTAATTATAATTTGACCATAAATTGCAGTGAATTAACTGTGATGAATAAATACTTCTCAAAAAACTCAAAACTGAATAAACATTCAGATTGAATGGACTGTGCACTAAGAAATGAACAAATGAACTTTTTCGATAGATTCTCACTGATGCAACTGTCAAGTAACATTTATCATATTCATCATATTCAAAGAGATGAAGAAATGACAATAAAGCACGCCAGTTAAATGATAGGTCTGCCCATAGAGTATATAAAGACAACTGAGAAAAAAATGTGTATAATGTTAGTGTAATGGTATCGAGTTCAAATTCCAGATATCATTAATAAGTTTTTCAATTTTTCTACTTATTCGGTTGACTTTTTAGAAATGTTGTTTTTTTTTTTTTTTTAAATTAAAAAAACTACCTACCTACCTACTGAAAACTTTAAAATTAGAAGCTATTCCTTACATATACTTTTAAATATTTATGTATCAGCAATTTAAGTTATATATTTATTCTAACTGATTAAAGGTACGGTTAAACAGAAAGTGGGCTGACCGTATTGTCTGTCTCGGACACTATGTTATCTAGAATTGTGTCATGATGGTTAAATATAGTGCAAGCAATTGGGTAGATAGTGTCGACCGAAGCAAGCAGTGATCTAGCGGTAATATTTTACAGTGATCATGGCGGTCAAAAATTATTATTAAACCTATTAATATTATATTAATAATGGCAGATGAAACAGAAAAAATTAATTAATTAATGCATAATTGTCAATAGCTATATAACAACTAGTCATTATGAATATAAATATAATTTTCTCTTTTTCTTGGTTTTCTTCATCAGAACTGCTACTAAATGCCAGCTTTTAAATTTTGTCCACAACGAAAATTCCAATTCTTATAAGTAGGCAAATAGTGTCAAACAGTATTATTAGAAGGCATGTTTCACACTAGAAAAACTAGACCGTGGAAAACTGCCTGCACGTTATTTGACACCCACAGACTGTGGCAGGCAGCCTGCTTTCTGTTTGATCGTACCTTAAGTTTAAAGTTATTTTCAAAAGCAATGGGAAAAAATATAATAATTTCTTTATATTATATATAATTTTAATGTATAACAAATAATAATAATAATAATGTTCTCCATTCTACCTTTAAACACCTAAAAACACACAATATTAATCTTCTTTCAAGTATAAAAAGTATAGAAAAATAATTATTACTTAATTTTATTTTTAACAATATAATTATCTATGGATCTAACAATGGCAAACACATATTTTAGGGGGAACTTTTTCTATGAAATATATAGTTATATATTTCATATTCTTCATATACTATACTTACTAATGAATCATTAGCGATTTTTCCGCGATATGCATATGCTACATTTAATCCATCAACTACTACATCGTATGGTGCAGTATTTTTTATGAAGTCTTTAAAATTATTTAACTCTTGTGGAGATGAATTATTAAATATATTTTTTCCAATTACTACACGAGACATAAAACTTTCTTGAAGTGCCTTAAACTCTGAATTTGTAATTTCAACTGGTTTCAATATTTGATTACAATTTGTACATCGTCCACTAAAATATAAAATAAAATAATTTAAATAAAATATACCTAAATAAATACACATTCTTACTCGGGTTTAATTATAGTAGTAGTAATTTTACTGCCATATTGTTTATATTTTTCATGTATTAGTTCAGCTAAATGTGTTCGAACAATACATTCATTATCTCTTAAAAATTCTAATACCTTCTGATAACTATAGTTTTTATTAATGTCACAAAGATTAAACCAAGCAGCAAATACTGATGTTAATAATATTTCATGCTGATTATACATTGTTTGTATTAAGGACCATCCTATATCTATTTCTTCTTCTTTAAAAGCTTTAAAGATTGTACAACTATATGCACGGATTTTAATATCTTTTTCATTTTTAAAATTGTTTAAATATTCTAATGAATTGCGCCACAAAGGAGTACAACATAATCCCATTATTATACCTAAACAATATACAATTTAATTAGTTTACTTTGAATAAACAAATAATTTCAAATTATTATTACCTTCCATAAAAGTAGAATTTACTAAATGTGAATTATTTTTTAAAATTGACAGACAAATAGTTTGAATTTCATGTTGATCTTCATCTGTCAACTGATCTTGTGATGCATAACATGATCGAATGTAAAGAAGTTGTAGTATTGTATTAGGTTTAGTTTGACCACATTCTTTTATATATCTCATATATGACTTGGCTAAATCTAGGCGCTTTTGTTTTGAGCATATTTCTAATATGCACCCATTTATATTTCTTTCATTTATATATCCACGTTTAATATTGAAAACAGACTCTTTCAACTTATTCCAATTAAGGTTAGTTGAATCTGATTCAGTAATAAATTCTGATATAATGCGAGTTTGTTCTTGACTGGCCAATCGACCCTTTAATTTGATGGGCATATCATTTTCGTTAGAAACTATAGACATTAACCTTTGTCTTTGAGTATACATACAAATAAATTCTCGGCGTATATTTGACATTACATTCCACTGTAGTTGCTTTTTTAATAACAAACACATTTTTAAAATTTAATAATTCTCATAAATACGTACTAATAAAAAATAAAAACGAGCATAAATTTGATCTGTTTTTTTCATAATACCTAACACAAAATTCAAACGTTCAGAAATTAGAACACAAGCTCCGATCATAAAATTTTGTTTTAATCACGGCATCACGATAACAGTTCAAGTTATGTGATAACATAGTATTTGATAATATACTTGTAAATAATAATTGATCGATTTTTAACAGGTTGTGCCTTTATTGCTTTCAAAGATGTTACAAATCTGTAGTACTTTCGTTTATTCTCATGGCGATTATGCACTGTACAATGTAAACTGTAAAACACAGCCATTGATCACTTATCATACAATATACACACAAAATCCGCCTTTATTATAATAAATTGTTGGTCTTTTCTGTATTAAAAATAATCGCATAATATTGGACAAAAACAAATCCTTTACAGACGGTTACATACGTCTTCGAATAGTGTAAGTAATACGGCCGAGTATTTAAATGTTCAATATTATTTCGAAAAGTTTACATTCTGTAAGTGATTTTGTTTGCGACGTTATTGATACCGGTACCTACGTTTAGGTATTAACGTTACCGCCATATATTCGGAAAAACAGACTATTCAAAAACGAAAATATCAAAGTAAGTATCTGGCAGAATTCGGACACTCATCTTGAGGTCTTTTTTACTATTGTATGTATGTATACCTATTATTTATTCCGGTTCTTATGTTTTATACAAATATAAATATCTACGATTCGGCACAATTACGGGTTGTGGGCATTATGTTTAAACTTGTTCGAAAAATTATTTTACTACGTTAAGGTAAAATCATTTTACCTATTTTTATTTTTTTTTTTATACATATATATATATATATATAATGGATAAATGGTATAAATATTTTCGTTCGTTTACATTTAATTCTACACGGTATTGCGGCTATTATTATATTTTGTAGAACTCGTATCCGTATGATAATCGGAGAGTTTCACCCAACGTTATATTATTTCTAACTTAAAAAACAAAAGCCTTTGTCGACTAATCGATTATATTATGCGAACGGAAATTCTGTGTACCTACATTTCGTAATCGTTACGCTCCACAAAATATAATGTGTCTGGTGATACATTTTGAAAAATCACATTGTGCTCGCATGGTGTGTAATTATTGCATTTCGAACTATACTTTATCAGTAGGTACCTACTTTAGTAATACTTCTATAATGATATCCGTCCCTATAATACCTACCTACTTCTATTATTTATTTATTTTACACGTAGTGTACGACGGAAAACGAAACATTGTCTCGCGGCGGCCGTGTTAATAATCGTCGGGTCGTAGACACCCGCTAGGTACGTGAAACGACGGCGAACGCGATTATTATTATTAATTTCGGCGCCCGCCTGATATCGAATCGCCACACAATACGGTTGGCTTGCGTGTACAATTTATATTTTATTTTTTTTCTCGCAAACAACAACGTGCGGCCCGTAGTTGTCGACGCGGTGACTTTAGTAAGGGACGGCGAAAAACGTAGGGAAAATAAATTTAAACAACCCGTCGTGTTGTAGCGTTGCACTCTCGAGTGCGCGGTCCGTTCCCGGCCGTATCGGCCCGCCATCGGACCCTTGCGTTTTTGTAAAACTATCGTCGGTGCGGCGGGTGCATTTTGTCGCGAGTCCGCGGACAAGTTTCGCGCGGCGGCCGTATGTCTCTGTATATCGACATTGTTTTCAGGAGAAGGCCATTTTCGTGGACACATTGTTTTTCGTGGGGGTGGGGGGGAAACTCGCAATATATATTAATTTTACTAAACGTAAATTCACGCGAACCGCTGTGTAAATTCCGTTTTTTTGTTTTGGATAACGTTCATTTTTGGGCAAAACAGCAACGCCCGGTGTTCCACTATTTTCCTTTCGTTCCCCCCTCCTTATCTATCCGTGCTTAATAAACTCTTAATTAATTTCAAATACATCAACACCACGATATTCTGTTATATAAGAGACGATAAAGAACTGTCTCGTAGTTATTGTCGTCAGTAAAGCCGGGTTTACACAGAGAAAACAAAACGGAATCTCTGATCTTCGACAAAATCAAAACGTTTTTAAAGCATTCGCGTTTCTTTCTGAATTTTTTTTAAGAACAAAGGCGTACCCTTACCGTTTGATTTTAACATTTGACCGGTTTTTGGTTGCTTTGATGAACATTACCGAACGTGTGCGAGCAGTGTAGCAATCAAAAGCGTTTTGGGAATTTGTAGTGCGAAACATATATCTGATACTGTACCCATTATTTACCTGTGTATAGGTACTTATGTTGTAGCTTGTGCTTCCATGTCTTTAAATTTTTTATAAAAATATTGATTTTATGAAATTAATAGATTGTAGAAGACATGCAATCTTATGGAGTTGTACCGGGAATATCGACCATATTGTGGGAAGCAAATAATGTAAATTATAAAATTAAATTTAAAAAAACAAATGCTATTTTTCTTATGCCCATTTTTTCATTTTTTTTTTTTTTCTGTAATTATTATACTATAATAATCGTTATAATTATTTAAAAACAATATAAAAACAATTTTTTTACTTAATTACACAAAAGTAATAGGAACTGTTTATTTTCAGAATGAATAAGAACTACTTGTATAACTAACATCTACACTTTTCAGAACAAATCAGTTAGATATTTTAATTTAATTTTTGAACGTTTAAAACGTTAAACATTTATGTATTGTGCTGTAATGTATGGAAAAAAAGGTTTTGTTGTTATTGAAACTCAAAAAATTGTAATTTGTGTATTTTTACTTCAAAATCTTTATGAATCCAACGTTATGTTTTCTAATCCGGAAATATAAAAACAACAACAAAACCAAAAACATAATTTCATAATGTTGTTAATTTGCAAAACTCACGTTATTTTTAAATCAATCCAGTTGGGTTTTGTTAATTATTATTTCTGATTATATTTTGAATGTACCTGCTTATCATTTTGCGGATTAATCTTAATCTTAGTCTATACGTTTTGGAATAGTAAAAAAAAAATTTTCGATTGATTTTACGTTATCTGCTGCTATTTCGTATTGTAGTTAATATATCTTATTCTAGTAATAAAATCGACACATGTGTAAGTTGTAAACATTTTTGGTAAACAAATAAATATTCGTGATTTTTTTTATCACCTTAAAGCACTCGTGAAAAAATTTAAGAGCTAGGTTTTGGAAATCATTGTCGTAATGACGACAAGTTTATGTGTTCTGTTGTATGATCGATGGACCAGTATTTCTCCCAGTAGAATTTGTTGAATTTTGTATGAAGTACTATGAACAATATCGTGCCAGTTGGAGCGGAAGATTTAATTTTATATTTCGATCATACATACATTAATGGTAAATTTCGCCCAGGTAGACTATATCGAAATAGTATTAACAATTAAATATTGTCGCACTATTTCCTCTACAACCTGGAATGTTAACTTAACAATATTCTTTAACGGCCATAGAATAAAATAATGTATGTGAAAGTTGGAATTCAATATTTTCACATATAGTTGGACAAAAACATCCAACTATTTGGAAACTGATTACTATATAGAATAAGACATGAAATAGTTGTAGATGGCGCAAAATTAGCTTTAAACGAGCTGTTTGAGCAATCGATAAAAAGGGAAAATCAATTTAAATGGAGAGAAGATTCTCAATGCTTTATGCAAACGTTTTGGAGAAAAAATAGGCGTTGAAGAATTTTTAAAAGTTATATCCTGTAATATTAAATTACAAAAATATTAAACAATGGTAATTTTATTTTTTTATAATTATCATCTATCAGAATCATTTTTTTTTTTTTTTTGTATAACAAATATAGATAATACTTACATGTAGGTACTTATAATACAAATGTATTATATTATATAGTTTTGTTTTTAATTAAATGCAATTATAATTATTATTAGAAACTAGAATTATTTTATTACTATAATAGATTTTTTTTTTTTTTTCTGTGATACTTTCCATTCCTCACGTTTTGACGATTTCGTTTAACACACGTCTAAACATCGAAAATATATAGGAGCTTATTATTGGTAAATAGTAAATATGTTTCGTTTTTTCTTTGTCGAGAGTTTTTGAAAGAACCGCGCAATGATCAAATTTTTTTTTATCAACGCGTTGTGTCGTCGCTTCTCAACTAGTTGCGTGCGCATACAGTAGCCCGAATGTCGTCCCGTCGCCCGTCCCCCGTCCCCCGCCACTCGTCACAAGTAACGATATCGGTCGTGGGTCATGTATTCGTACGGTGCCCATGGTGCGTTTTGTTGACAACACGTTAAGGTTTTTTACGATTTCTGTTGGTGTCCTTTCGACTCAAGTAAATTCGTTCGATACATTTGCCGTCCGTTGTTCCGTTTTGTTCTTGGCTACGTGACCGTCAAGACACGCTTCTCCACCGCTGCACGTAAATACCTCTACAACACTGACCCACCGTCATAAAGGCTACGACTACCGTAAATACTATTAATATTTATTTAGCGCTCTTCGCGTTTACCATAGTACACGCTTTCTCATACCCTGTACATTATATTGAGGTTGTTAAAATCGGTCCCAATAGTGTTGAACACGTTTCTAATGCCCAATTTCTCATTAAATTTAAGTATAACAAATAATAATATCTCGACCGGCTGCCGTCGTCACTTTCGAAATTGTCGAGGAGCTCGCCGTGTACCATTATGCTTCCTAAATGACTCGTCCGTGTTGTCGAACATGTATCAAATCATAATATGAGGATCATTGAACTTGAATTTAAAGGTAAATCAATCAATATTGGCTGCATATACCTACTTACAGGTAGATTAGACTATACCAAAATCATTTTATGGTAACCAATGTTATTAATAATAGGTCCTTTAAGAAACATAACATAAGTGAGTTAATAATAATATCCATTACTCAAATGATACAAAATTAAATAGATAAATATAAAATGATACATGTATTGTCAGTCAATTTAATGGCAGAACATATTATTTAGTCACAGGCTTGATAAATTTATAATATTAGATATAATATCTGTATAATAATATGTGTATTATTGTATTGCAACTTATGTAGTGTGTTTTTTTTATTTTCAGCCCATACGAGTATTGGATACCAGAATTGCACAAGCAATTTTG